ATTCTCAGAAACTACCCAGAGAAGTCCCTGCAGTTTTCTTGGCAAGATTTTTCAGAAGTGGTTTGCCGTTGCCTCTTTCCTAGGGCTGAGAGAAAGTAACCGGGCCAAGGTCACTAGCTGATTTTGTCCCTAAGGCGGGATTAGGTTTTCCAGTTTCTACATGATGCCTTAACTACGCCAAACTTGCTGTCTTCAAATGATAGGCCAGTGATGGTGAACTTTTAGAGACTGAGTGCCCAAAAACTGCCCCCGCCCCCGCTCCACACCCCACCCTGCCCCTGTTCTGCCCCCACCCCGCCTGCCTGCAGGGCCACTCACCATCTCCAGGGCCTGCCGCAGATCGCCCAGCAGTGCCATGGCAGCCATGCCCTCTGCCTGTGCCCCGCAGCATCAACTGTGCGTGATGGGGTGTGAGGGCAGAGTCTTGTCTACGCTGCCTGGCTGCCATGTCCTTGGCGGCATTGCTCCACATGGGCCACGCTTGGGGGAAACTCTTCTCCAGGAGGGCTGCTGGTGAGGAGGGGGTCACGGGGGGGAAGCAAGGCTGGGGCAACGGCACGTGTGCCCACAGAGAGGGCTCCGAGTGCCGCCTCTGGCACCTGTGCCATAGGTTCGCCACCATTGTGATAGGCCATTCTAATAATGCCATGCAACTTTGTTACATATTGTTACAAAAAAAAGAAAACATTTACATTTTTATTTTCTCAACTTACCACATGCTCAGATAATTCACAACAGTTCTCCTGAGGAGCAAGGCTTGGATCGCAGTGTAAGATCAGGCGGCCAAGTTCAATCTATTTAATAAACATGATGATGCTTATCAAGTTGAGAAGTAACAACACTCAAGCCTCTGTAGCGGAAATCCATCACACCATTAAATAATTTACCCCACTGAAATGACGGGCTTAAATATCTCTAACAGAGTTTTGGATTTTGGCCATGAACTTTTAAACACATTAAAGTTTGACATTTTAAAATACTCCATTTGCATTTATTATATTAGTTATCCGAGCAACACACAGATTCTAATCAAATCCTACCAAATCAAATTTGAACCCAACGTAGAACCTCTGTATATCTCTTTATAAAAGGAGCTGGATTTATGACAACAGCTACTGAAATTTGATGCATTTCTTTGGTCAGCTCTCTGGCCATTTGAAGGATTTATTCTTACAGATGGGAATTTACCTCTCTCCAAACTATGTTACTTTAAGTCAATAAAACTAGAGTGTTATACAAATTCCGCTAGCTATGTTATTAATTTATCACTATAAATAATCCTAGGAACAATAAATTAAAACTTAAGTCACAACCTTGCCTTTGGTGGCTGAGGCAGCATCACTGAAGCCAAATAGGCTGGCCTCATGAGATAGTACTATTGGCTTATTGCTTTCTTGTCATGAAATAGTCCCAGCTGGGAAATACAGCCACTTGTCTCGCAGCGTTTGATAGAAGACCAGTTGAAACCATTCAGCTGCAACTATAAAAGCACTGCAGGAAGCGGGACAATAGCAAGGGATGATATTCCTTGAACTTTGGTAAAACTCTATTTGTTAAATTGGGGGTTTAGGCAAATCTCAGATCCTTTCTCCATTTCTCTTTCCACACACATCCCCAGAATTAACTCAACAGTCCTGCAGAGTTACAAAATTATTTTAATGTATCTATTTTTTTGGGAAATATTTGGAAAAAAACCCCCTCTCTGTTAAGCTCTCTTTACACCCCTTCTTCCAATTGGTTTTGCTTATAAGGTAAC